CCCCCATCCCATGGAATGTTATGTTGACACCCAAGACAGCCAAATATTCCCACTATTTTCTCATTGTACTAAAAAATAAGCAACCAGTAAATGATTTCACATCTTTAAAAAAAGCATTTACACTAAGGGAAAAAAAAAAAGGGATGAATTGGGATTTCATTCTTCTTAAAAATGTTTCTAGAGCTACTAAAAAACTTGCATTTACAAAATGCAATAAAAATATTCCTCTGGGTTGTATAAGAAGGGAGATAACAGGGCCCACTGATAAGACCTGATAAACGTTCATCAGACTTGGCTCCTTTTCTCCTGCTTCATCGGAGGCTGGACTCTCCTCGTGGTTCCTTTCTCCGTTTTCAGCAGGTGAATCTTCTCTAGCTTCTTGGTCGGCGACTTCCGCCTGTTTCCCCTTTGCTCCTCTTTCCCCTTTGCTCGCACTGTTTTGTCCGAAGATTGATCCTTTCCTGATGCCTTTTTGGGCTTCGTCTCCACTTTTGCAGGCGCGGGTTTCGCTGACAATCTGGCCGATCTCCTCTTCGGCTCCTTCACCGCCCCTTCTGCCCAGCTGACCTTCCTCTTGGGCATCTTGGCTGTGGGGAGGGTGCTTCCAGGACGCCTTCGGACCGCTGGCCACCCAGAGCCTTCTCGAAGCTGGGTCGCCTGGCGCTGCCGCTCAGTCCGCTGCTGCCCGAGCTGCTAGGACTTGCGGCTGGGGCGGAGAGAGAACCAGATGACACTATATCTTCTAATAGCTGGGCACCTTCCGCTTCTTCACCACATTTTCTTATGCAACCAGTTTGGCTTCCGCAATCATGTCAGAAAGATGAGTATCACAGAATGCCAGGGTATCAGAGCAAAGTGTTCTTGGGTTGAGGAGAGGACTTGAGTAGAAGTCCAATGTCCATCTGCTACCTTGATACTTAACATATAAATATATGTACATAGACCTATATCCCCATCATGGTATATTAATATATTTACATATATACAACCTTCCTAATGCTGCGACCCTTTAATACAGTTCCTCATATTGTGGTGACCCCCAACCATAAAATTGTGCATAACTGTAATTTTGCTACTGTTATGAATTATAATATAAATATCAGAACTGAAGGATATATTTTCATTGCTACAAATTGAATACAATTAAAGCACAGTGATTAATTACAAAACAATATGTAATTATATATTGTGAGATATTTATTTCTAATGACAAATAAAATTTTGTCTTGAAGCCTGGTGTAGCATGGGTAACAGTCTTTTTTTAAAAATCATTTTGTTAGGGGCTCATACAACTCTTATCACATTCCATACATACATCAATTGTGTAAAGCGCATTTGTACATTCATTGCCCTCATCATTCTCAAAACATTTCCTCTCCATTTAAGCCCCCGGC